TTAGATAAAGAGTAAAATGGAGAGACATATACTTTAAAAAAATATTGGTGGGTATAGGATAGTTAACAATTCTGGCACATAGAGATGGCATTAGGGGAACAATATTGGTGGGTATAGGATAGTTAACAATTCCTATAACAATGAGGATTATGTGGTCTCATGCTCTGATGCAGTGGGTGTGCCCTGAGGGGTCTGGTAAAGACTTTGACATTCCAAAGGTATGTTATCTCAGATGCCAAAAGACAACAGACAGGCTCAATTCAGGTAAAGACTGACCTTTGTCAAGGAAGCTACAGGCCTAGGATGGGACTACCCTTCATGATCTGCGTTTAGTTGGGAATTTTTAGGTGGTTACTTTTGGTCTCTCAGTTTGTAGAGCCTGAACTTGTCAGGTTTGTATGTAAAACACTTTTTTGTTCACAAAACATAGGTACCAAATGTATGGACCTCTGTCTTCGAGAGGATTTTTTAAACGTGACCTCAAAGGTAAGGGAAGCAAAAGCAAAAATAAATAAATGAAACTACATTAAACTAAAATGCACAGCAAAAGAAACCGACTGAATGGGGAATATTTGCAAATAACTACGGCGATAATAATTGTTTGTTGTTTTAAGTCAGTAGGTTTTGGGCATAATTTGTTAAGTAGCAAAAGGTAACTAATACAGGTTCTGGTACCTGGAAGTGGGGTGCCACCATAACAAACACCTAACATATGGAAGTAGCTTTGGGACTGGGGTGTGGGAGGAATCTGGATATAGGACACCATCTCCAGCACCTTCGGCCCACTGCAGACCACCTCCATTAGAGGCGGATACTCACAGAGGAAGTGCTTGATGTGGGTGCCACAGAATGGAAGCTGACTGGTCAAGATGACAGACACAACGATGGAGAATGCTGCCAGCCAGCAGGTGAGGATGAGTCATGTGCAGACTCTGCTGCTCATCAGGGTAGCGGAGGGGCTGGCGTTGGGCAATGTACCCATCACAGGCCATGGCTGTAAGTGATACCGGACACAAAATGGGTCTGAGGCTGCCTGTCACCACTGGAGCCAAATTAAGCAGAGACAGGGATGAATCATGCATGAATGTTTATTCCAATAATGCCGGCAGTACAGAGAGATAACTATGGAGGTCGTCCTGAAAATTCTGCTCTAACGTCTCCTACTAGCCGGCTGGTTACATTGGGATAAGGAAGAAGAGCTGAATGCAAGGGGGAGAGGGCCAGGCTAAAGACTGTATGGTGTGTGGTCAGTATGTGTTCTTCCAGGATCTTGAAGTCTGATAACAAGTTGGCTAATCTTCTATGAGGTTAAAAACAGCTCAGCCCGTTCCTTGGACCAGCGAATGGTCAGCATTCCTGAGGAAAACTCCTGGAGGGGGTCAGGGTCCAGGCGCAGATCAAGTCTGCTCTCAGAAAGTATTTTCTTTGCTGAGTAATGGATCCATGCGGGCTCCAAGGGGTCTTGTCTTTCTCAGCCCCGTTTTACTTCTTGCCACATATCCTCCAGTTTCCCAGGGTCTGAAAGAAAACCTCTTATCTATAGTTAGTAAGGTGAGTAACCACTAAACAACTGTGGTTCTGTTCCTATTACATGCCCTTCCACCAGTCACAAGGGAAAAGAACTCCGTGACCTCCAGGAAGATGTGGAAAAAGTCCTGGGTGATGCAGCCAGCAAAGCAGAGGCTCTTGGTCCCCGGGGCAATGTTGAGCAGTACCTTGGGTACGATGACAGTCTGGAACCTATTTTCTAAGCAGGACAGATTTCGGAGGAAGAAATGCATAGGCGTCTGCAGGCGGGTTTTCCAGGGACGTCAAGGTGATGGTGACCAGGTGTCCAGAGACAATCGGGAGGCATCAAGCAGCAGGAGCAGGAAAGCTGCTGCCTGAAGCTCATTGGTGTCTGCGAGGCCTTGGTGGAAGGACTCGGCCATGATGCTCTGAGTGGCCATTGTGCACCTCAGGCCCTTTCCAGAAACGCGCAGCCTGGGCAGGTAGAAGCATCAGACATTAGGCTAAAGCAGAGGAACACTTCTCCTCGAGTCCGTTCCTCCTTTACCTGCTGCTGCGTCCCTGTAGCTTCAGGGAAGCAGAGCAGAAGCCCCTGGAAGCTCTTCCCTTGTCAGGAAAGTCACCTCTTTCAGAATCTTTAAATAATTATTAGATACCAGTGACTTTCCTCTCTCCCTTCTTCTTTCCCTCCTCTTTTCTTTTATTCCTTCCTTTTGTTTCCTCTGAGAAAGCCTAAAAATAACTAACTCTTTGCTGCTACCCCAGTCCTCTTTTTTAATTTTATTTTTTGTGTTACAAAAGTAGTTTATTACAAAAGAAATCCAACCAAAAATGCCTAATAATTTACATTGTTATACGTGCCCCAGGGCAGCCCATCTCTCCCTCCACATGGGCGGAGGGCCGGGGGAGCAGCTGTTCCGGGTTCCACCAGCTCCGAGAGGAGAAGGAAATACACGATTGAGTGGAATTCTGGACAGGAGATCGGTGCCTGAGAATAACTGGGGAAAGAGTCCTGGGCGGAAGACGAGGTGGGGGAATGTCTGTATTCAAAAGAGGCGGCAAATGCATGTGCCTCTGGGCAAATCCTGGTTTGAAAACTGGGGGTGGGGGCGGCGGGGGGCGGGGGGCGGGGGCAGAGTGAGATCTTCATAGATTCCAGGAGGGTTGACTGCACAGGGCAGGGAGGTCCCTCCTCAGGAGTCCAAGATCTGTCTCTCCCCCCGACCCCCAATCCCTCTCAGCTGCCTCCTGGAGTTGGGGAGGGAGGCGCCGGCTGGCCAGGGGCTTGGAGGACCCCGGCGAAGGGCAGGAAGGCAGGTGGAGATGAGGGAGAAAGAAGAAACTGGGGGGGGGGGGGGGGGGGGGGGGGGGGGGGGGCCAGGGGAAATGCAAGGGGGTCCTTGGGAGGAGACTGGGAAGGCGAGGAGGATGGTGATGCAGAGAGAAGACCATTGGAGCTGAGGCGGCTGCAGCTTTCGGGGAGGCGGTGGCATCCGGTCAGGGGAGGCTCTGGCTGAGATGCGGGAGCAGGCCGCGTGGCCCTCCCCCGCAGGAGGTCGGTGACCCCTCGGCTGCGGGCACCCTAAGCGGCGTCGTTATGACAGTTCCTGAGGCGCTGTCAGGAGCTGGGGGCCAGCGGGCGCACCAGCGGGAGGAGGGCAGCGCCGAGCTGCCCAGTACATCTGCGCCGCCCGGTGGCGGTGGCGGCAGCTACACCACGCGCAGGCAAAGATCTGAGAGATGAGAAGCTACTGCTAGAGAGCAAGTTATTTATTTTAAAATATGTTTTTATTGATTTCAGAGCAGAAAGGGGAGGGAGAGATAGAAACATCAATGATGAGAGAGAATCATTGATTGGCTGCCTCCTGCACGCCGGCACTGGGGATAGAGCTGCATGTGCCCTGACCCCGCATTGAACTGGGACCTCCTGGTTTATAGGCCGGTGCCCACCCACTGAGCCACGCGGCTGGGTTGCTGTAGAGCAATTGAGAAGGAGGAGGAAATCCACGATGTTTCGGCAGAATGGTTTTGTCTTACCCCATTAGGTCTCTTAAGGTGACAGAAAAACCCAAACACACACAACTGCATTATATTAAAAATTCTCATCTAAAACAGAATCGAATGCAGATTTTTCTGAGGCTATGCTAAAATAATCTTTTACATTTTAGAGCCACAAAATAGAAATTGTTGAAAGCCAAACCCAGCAGTTAATTCTGGGAACTGAATTACACTGTTAGTTGAATTCACAGCCTTTTAAAGTTCCATTTATAAATATTATGGCCTTGATGAGGAAAGAGAGCCATCATGATAATTAGAGCAGGATTACCTACAAGGATTTGAAGGACCAGAAGTGTCTTCCAAAACACCCTTCACTGTACCTTTCTTTTTTACTTTTATTTAAATGTTTTGTTGTTGAGACTATTGCAGATGTCCCCCATGTACCTTTTTGATCAAGAAAACTGTCTTTCCCTTGCTGGAGAAATCTGTTAGTGTTCCTACGTCCACATTTTCTTTGCTGACAGGTTTATAATCAGAATATGAATTCAACTGGGGTAGAAATATAAAATATTAAATTAAAGATAAACTGCAGAAAGACTATGTATCTACCATTTTATTGTTTCTTACTTGCTTCCTCTTCGTTTGAAGTTCCAGAGAATTCTCCTACGCATCATCAGATTATAACTATTCTGAACATCTGATATACATACTAGTATATGTATCCTTCAAGGAATAACTAAAGAATGGGTTTTGGTTCTAAAATCTGTATGGACAAGAGTCCATGGACACAAGCAGAATAATTTGAGCCCCTGAGAGTTCACATTGATTCTTCTTATTACTTATATATATTCTGTTAAAGTTGAAGCCAGAAAGGCTTTAGGTGTTGCCATCTTAATAAAGGACCAATTATTCCTTGTGTCAACATCTATAACATGCCTGTGTAGTATTTTGTTACTGCCCTTTTAATGTCTATAGGGTTTGCAATGATATTCCCTCTTAATCCTGATAATGGAATTTTGTGTCTTCTCACTTTCTTTTGTTGGTCTTGATAGATGCTTATCAATATTATTTGTCTTCTTAAAAAACCAAGCTTTTGGTTTTATTGATTTACATATTGTGTTTTTAATTTCATTGATTTCTGTTCTTATTTTTATTATTTCCTTCCTTTTGCTTGCTTTGGGTTTAATTAGCTTTTTTTTTTTTTTCCTGAATGTGGAAGCTTACAGTATTTATTTGAGACTTTCCATCTTTTCCAATGTAAGCATTTAATGCTATAAATTTTCCTATAAGCACTTCTATAGCTGCATCACAATTTGTAATATATTGTGTTGCCATTTCAATCAGTTCAATATGCTTTCTAATCTCCCTTGAGATTTTCTTTTTGGCCCATGAATTATAGAGAAGTGTGTTGTTTAGTTTCCAACTGCTTGAAAAATTTTGGTCATATTTCTGTTATTAATTTCAAGTTTAATTCCATTATAAACATACTTTATTTATTTTTTAAAAAATATATTTTTATTGATTTCAGAGAGGAAGGGATAGGAAGAGAGATAGAAACAGCAATGATGAGAGAGAATCATTGATTGGCTGCCTCCTGCACGCCGCCTACTGGGGATTGAGCCCACAACCCAGGCATGTGCCCTTGACTGGAATCAAAGCTGGAACCCTGCAGTCCACAGGTCGACGCTCTATCCACTGAGCCAAACCAGGTAGGGCTAAATATATTTTATATTATTTCAATTCTTTTAAATCTGCTAAGGTTTGTCTTATAATCTAGGGCATGGCTTATTTTGTTAAATATTCCATGCTCATATGAAAAGACTGTGTGTTCTTCTGTTTTTAGGGGGAGTGTTCTATAAATGTCAGTTATATCCAGCTGGCTGATGATGTTGTTCAGTTCTATATCCTTGCTTATTTTCTGACTACTAATTATATTTGTTATTGAGAGAGATACATTAAAGTCATCAATTGTAATTGTGGATTTTCTGTTTCTTCTTTCCATTATTCAAGTTTTTACTTATATGCAATTTTTTCTTTTTTATTAAAATTGTTGCAGTGACATTGGTTAATACAATTATATAGGTTTCAGGCCTACATTTCTATAATTTACTTATATACTTTGTAACTGTGTTGTTAAATGCATGCACATTTAGAAGGTCTTCTTGTCACTCACTGGAAAGGGACCAGGCCCAGAGCGATCTGCCTCGTATTGGCCTGTAGTATGTGATTTCATGAGTCCAGGTGACTTTGAGAGTACATTTATTAAACCTGGGGATACTGAAACAAAGGAAGGGCTTAAGATAGAAGAAGCAACAGGAGAGAGCCCTGTCAGGGCTGCTTTGGCTCTCTAGAAATATTATAGGAAAGAAGTGTGCTGGAGGCTAATTCCATCATGTCATAAATGCAAGAAGTTTCATCAAAAGGTTGATGGCACCTTGAGGCTTCAGCAGGGCTGAAGATATATATCATGGCCTGCTGGAATAGCTGAAAGCATTTCCCCAAACCTGAAAATGTACATATGATTGCCTGCTATCAGACAGCTGAGGGCAGTTCCCCTAACTTGACAATGCTTCTGTTTACCAAACTTACCTTTGATATGTATATCTGCTTTGCTTTAGGCCAAAATGTGTGAATAAAAAGCCCTGGGTCCAGAGATTTAGAGAGAACTTGGATACTCTAGCTAAGTCTCCTCTGGCTCCCCCATGTATTCCAAATGTATATTTCTAGGCTTTTTATTAATTTACGCACAGCCCCTTCTCCAGATTCCTGAACCCTTCTAGATGCAGAGAAGCACCCTGGCAAAAGTGAGCTAAGGAGGGCGCCTGTTAGCTCACTGAGAAGTAAAAGTCACAGTGACAGGAGTGAGACAAGGCAGGGCTGCTGCTCGCTCATTAAAAAGTCAGAGAAAAGGGGCACTGGAGGCAGGTTCAGGGGGTAAGCCCGGGATGAGCTGCTGTTGCTTGATGCTCCCCTGATTGCAAGTCTCATGGGGACCCTTAGAGTTAGAAGAAGGTTCATACCTGAGAAAGAAAAGGCATCGTGGCTGTGTTCCAGAGAGAACACCTGGGTCTTTTGTCTTGAAGCTTTTTATCTCCTTTGGAGCAGGAATCTTAGGAGAGGTCTCAGGGCGGGTTTTAGCAGAATATTCATCAGCTTCCCAGGTGTGTTCGTTAATATGTTGATGTACAAAAATGAGGCATAGAGCGACCAGGTCATTTTCTGGTTAGCTTTGCCTCTATCTTGGATTTCTTTGACTCTAATTGTTGTTGTTAGTTATTCCCCAGACTTCCTCTTTGTTCGGCTGGCACAAATGGCATTAATTCTATTTCTTATCTATATCTCTGACCAGGATGATTTAAACTATGTATTCTCTGGGTAGGGAGCAGAGGTGTAAACCATTTACTCTCAAGTGTCCTTGGTTAGGGAAGATTAGGTCTTGTGCTTCACTAGAAATGTCTGGCTCTCTAGAAATGTTGTAGGGAAGAAATGAGCCTAGGCAGGGCTGCTTTGGCTCACTGAGAAGGCAGAGAGGTTCAGGGGTTAGCCTGGGCTGAGTTACCGCTACCCATTGCTCCCCTGGTGCAAATCTCATGGGTGCCCTTAGCATTTATGAATGCACACCTGTGGGGGAAGGAAAAGGGGAAGGGGAAGGTGCGGGCGTGGTCCGGAAAGGGAGAAGAGCTCAGGATGGGGGTCTTTGAAGGCTGGGAGTTTAGGGGAGGGCTTTGGGGAGATCTCAATACAATACTCATTGGTTTTTCCAGGTGTGCCCTGTCAGGGTTGTGGTCTCCACTGATTGGTCAGCACTGTTAGTCATTGCAGTGGTCCTGGCTCCACCTACCTGGTTCTGCTGCTTTTCTGGGCCGGAAGCTGAAACACACCTGAGGCCTAGATGTTATCTCTAGGGAAGTGACCCTCTGTATCTGCTGTAATTGCTGGGCCAGTTTGTTCAGCTCTCAGTTGCCCAGTTCCACTTGCCGAGGAATATTCCTAGCTTACTATCCTGCCTCAGTATAATTATTGATATGTTTGGATTTATGTCCATCATTTATTATATATTACTAGAGGCCCGGTGCACAAAAATTTGTGCACTTGTGGGGGGAGAGGGGGTCCCTCAGCCCGGCCTGTGCCCTCTCACAGTCTGGGACCCCTCGGGAGATAACGACCTGCTGACTTAGGCCTGCTCCCTGGTGGCAGAGGGCAGGCCTAATCCCTAGGTGCAGCCCCTGGTCAGGCTCAGAGCGGGGCTGATTGGGGAATTGGGGCGCCGCTCCCTGTCATGCACAGAGCAGGGTGGATTGGGAGGTTGCGATGCCACCCTCAGTCACACTCAGGGTAGGGCCGATTGGGGGGTTGGGGCACCGCCCCCTGTCACACTCAAGGCAGGGTCAATGGGCAGGTTGCAACGCCACCCCCTGTCAAGCACAGAGCAGGGCCAATCAGGGGGTTGGGGCTCCGTACCCTGTCATGCACATAGCAGGCCAATCAGGGGGTTGGGGCTCCGTACCCTGTCACGCACAGAGCAGGCCAATCAGGGGGTTGGGGAGCTCCCCCTGTCACGCACAGCGCAGGGCCCATCAGGGGGTTGAGGAGCTCCCCCCTGTCACTCACAGAGTAGGGCCGATAGGGGAGTTGGGGCACCGCCCCCTGTCCCACACAGAGCAGGGCGGATCAGGGGGTTGGGGCACCGCCACTGTCACACCCAGGGCAGGGCTGATGGGGAGGTTATGGCTCTACCCTGTCACAGAGCAGGGCCCGTGGTGTGGGGGTGGGGGGTTGGGGCGCTACACCCTGTCACACACAGAGCTGCAGGGCGATCAGGGGGTTGGGGCGCTGCCCCCTATCAGGCACAGAGCAGGGCCGATCAGGGGTTTGGGGCACCTTCCCCTGTCAGGAACAGAGCAGGGCCGATAGAGAGGTTGTGGCCCCGCCCCCTGTCACACACAGAGCCGCAGGGCTATCAGGGGGTTTGGGCGCTGCCCCCTGTCACGCTGATCACGGTGCTGGGAGGCATATTACCCTTTTACTATATAGAATAGAGGCCTGGTGCATGGGTGGGGGCTGGCTGGTTTGCCCTGAAGGGTGTCCTGGATCAGTGTGGGGGTCCCCACTGGGGGGTCCCCACTGGGGTGCCTGGCCAGCCTGGGTGAGGGGATGATGGCTGTTTGTAGCTGGTCACACACCCTTCAGGGTGGGGGTCCCCACTGGGGTGCCTGGCCAGTCTGGGTGAGGGGCTGAGGGCTGTTTTCAGGCTGGGACTGAAGCTCCCAACTGCTCCTTTTTTTCTTTTTCTTTTTTTATTCTGGGCCAGCTTTAGCTCTGAGGCTCCAGCTCTTAGGCCTCCGCTCCTGAAAGCAGGTATCTGGTTTGTTTCGGTTCTATAGTCAAAACTCTGTATCAACTCCAGCTCTGAGATCCCGGGCTAGCTGAAAGCTGGTTTCTGGGGTTTTGTTTAGCTTCTATATTCGTTACAATGTTTCTTAAACTGCAGGCTCAGAGGCCGGCAAAGCAGGCGGGGAACGTTGGTTTCCTCCATCATTGAAGCAAGCAAGCCCCATGTTAGTTTCAAGCTGCCTGGCTGCTGGCTGCCATCTTGGTTGGCAGTTAATTTGCATATCTCGCTGATTAGCCAATGGGAAGGGTAGCGGTCGTACGCCAATTACCATGTTTCTCTTTTATTAGATAGGATGTTTATTTCCTCTAACTCAGTTCCTCTATTTCCCTTTTCATGCCTACTTTTGGGTTATTTGATTTTTTTTAGTATTCCATTTAAACTCATTTATTTATTTATTGTGATTTTGATTATATCAAATATTTGAAGTTATTTATGTTGAAATTACTATACATATGCTTAACTTTTCCCAGTCCACTTAGAATCAAGATTTTACCACTTCAAATAAAATGTAGACACCTTATGATATATAGGTTTCTATGTCCTCCCGATTTTACCTATCCTCTAAAAAACCAATTCTTTTTTTTTTCTTCTGCAGCCAGCACTTTGAAGAGAAGGAAAATGGCCCCATAATAACTTCAGCACTGAGAACAATGTAGGAAGGCAAATATATTTGTGGAATGATTGCTGGGCTTCTAGGCAGCTGATGAAGGGCACATTCACAGGACTGCTCAGATCCAAGGCAGAGGACAGGGCTGGGCCAAGGCAGCGTGTGTATGTTTCCATCCAGCTTCCATGCCCAAATCTTTAAGGTATTTAATTAAAAGCCATGCAGAAACAGGAGTCAGGAGCCTTTGGAGAAAGAGGCTCAATATTCGGAACTGCTTGTTCTTTAGCTTTTGGTCTAAAGCTGTGATTTTCAACCAGTGTGCCACAGTTTTTTAAATATGCAACATGTGACTATTTAGTCAGGGACATTGGCCTATTTGCTCTTAGGCTATCACATAAAAACGATGACAGCAGACAATACAACAATAGCTGTCTGGTATTAATGAATCAAAAGTATATCTATTTTCCTTTTGTCAGATGGGCAAATATATATATTTTGGTATGCTGCAGGATTTTCATAATTAGTTTATGTGTGTCATCAGATGAAAAAGATGGGAAATCACTGGTCTAAAGAAGCACCAAGGGGTGCTTTGCAAAGAACTGACCTTGGGGATCAGTTGCAGAGACAATCTACTGGAATTTGCATCCACTTGAGTTATCTGGAAAATAACAATAACAAAAGCCAGCTGCCTCTAATAAATTAGGCAATTTGCTTTAAAAAATTCTTAAAATATTTGGATGCGGTTTTCTAAGGCATCCTTAGGTATCCCTTTCACTCTCAGCCTCCCAAGGTTCATCTACAAAATATGTCCCCTATAGCTCAGGCACCCTCAAGGAGCCCTACAAGTTTTGGTAACATAACTCAAGATTCCTACTCTTCTGAATCTTCCCTTAAGAAGAGATTGGATATTCACTCTGTTAGGGATACCAGATGAAAACCAGTAGTTTTCATTTCAATTTCATGACTTGAGGAGAGTTAGAGCCAGAAATATCAATCCTACCAGCAGAAACAGTTTCTGTATTAAGTGTCTAAAGAAGAGATTTTTAGAATTTTCAGAGCAAAAAGGATGAGAAGGAAAATTATCTCAAACTTGAGAAAGGATGGCCTTTATTGCAAGAGTAGAGCTTTATTGCAAGATGTAATTACTAGCTTATTCTGGAAATTGTCTAGTATTTCTGATAATATATTTGGACAACTTTCTAAAGACTTTGATAAAGTGAAGAGCCTGGTTTGTAAAGCTAAACTTTATCAATAAGCCCAAGACCACCAGTCTTGTGGACACCACCATTAATTTTATTCAGATGTTCCTCCTTTGTACATAGACTAACAAAGTTATATAGTTACATCTTTTTCCTATAAAAATTTATCTACTAAAGGGTTATATCTGTATTATTTTATTTCATATTAGAAATCAAAACTGAGAAATTAAAAAATCTATATATTAATTTGTTTTATATTACTACTAGAGGCCCGGTGCACAAAAATTTGTGCACTGGGGGGGCGGGTCCCTCAGCCAGGCCTGTGCCCTCTCGCAGTCTGGGACCCCTCGGGAGATAACGACCTGCTGGCTTAGGCCTGCTCCCGGGTGGCAGAGGGCAGGCCTAATCCCTAGGTGCAGCCCCTGGTCGGGCTCAGAGCAGGGCCGATTGGGGAATTGGGGCGCCGCCCCCTGTCATGCACAGAGCAGGGCAGATTGGGAGGTTGCGATGCCACCCTCAGTCACGCTCAGGTTAGGGCCGATTGGGGGGTTGGGGCACCGCCCCCTGTCACACTCAAGGCAGGGTCGATGGGGGGGTTGTGGCGCCACCCCCTGTCATGCACAGAGCAGGGCCCATCAGGGGGTTGGGGAGCTCCCCCCAGTCATGCACAGAGCAGGGCCGATCAGGGGGTTGGGGCGCTGCCACTGTCACCCTCAGGGCAGGGCCGATGGGGAGGTTATGGCTCTACCCCGTCACACACAGAGCAGGGGCCGTGGGGTGGGGGGTTAGGGGCACCGCAAACTGTCACACACAGAGCTGCAGGGCGATCAGGAGGTTGGAGAGCTCCCCCCTATCAGGCACAGAGCAGGGCCGATCAGGGGGTTGGGGCGCCTTCCCCTGTCAGGAACAGAGCAGGGCCGATAGGGAGGTTGTGGTCCCGCCCCCTGTCATACACAGAGCCACAGGGCGATCAGGAGGTTCGGGCGCTGCCCCCTGTCATGCTGATCCCGGTGCCGGGAGACCTCGCGGCTCCGCTGATCCCGCTGCTGGGAGGCATATTACCCTTTTACTATATAGAATAGAGGCCTGATGCATGGGTGGGGGCTGGCTGGTTTGCCCTGAAAGGTGTCCCTGATCAGGGTGGGGGTCCCCACTGGGGTGCCTGGCCAGTCTGGGTGAGGGGCTGAGGGCTGTTTTCAGGCTGGGACTGAAGCTCCCAACTGCTCCTTGTTTTCTTTTCTTTTTTTTTTTTATTCTGAGCCAGCTTTAGCTCTGAGGCTCCAGCTCTTAGGCCTCCGCTCCTGAAAGCAGGTATCTGGTTTGTTTAGGTTCTACAATCGAAACTCTGTATCAACTCCAGCTCTGAGATCCCGGGCTAGCTGAAAGCTGGTTTCTGGGGTTTTGTTTAGCTTCTATTTTTGTAACTATGTTTCAAACTGCCAGCTCAGAGGCCTGCAGTGGCAGGCGGGGAACGTTGGAGTCCTCCGTCACTGACGCAAGCAAGCCTCATGTTAGTTTCAAGCAGTTAATTTGCATAGCGCCCTGATTAGCCAATGGGAAGGGTAGCGGTCATACGCCAATTACCATGTTTCTCTTTTATTATATAGGATAATAAAAACATCTCAAAACACAAACAATATATTTTTATTTAACATAACTATAATCTCAAAAAAATAACTAGAAGAGTGGTGTTGTTTCACATTTTTGCAAATTTTAAAAATGTCTGGTTCAAAAATCTATTTGCTAGAAAGAAATCTTTTTTAAAAGAAACATTTCTAATTTTTATTCATAAAATTAATCCAAACAGCAACAATAGATATACTGAGCCACATATCAGTAACAAACCAGGAAGGAAACAAAATATTCCAGAAACATCTTGAACCATTTTAAAGGAATACACACCAGGCTAAAAACCTACAGCTAAACCGTGGTTGCACAACAGGTTACGTTTATTCCTGCATTTTCTCAGTAAGTTCTTCCTTATATTTGCCTTTCTCTTTTCCAACTTGTCGAGATTTGGTTTTGCTTTCAAGAATTTTTTTCCGAACTTTGTCTAGTTTTAGCCTGGTGATAACCACCTTGCTGGGGTGAATGCCCACCTGGACAGTTGTGCCCTTAGCCTTCTCATGCTGCACCCGCTCCATGTAGATGACATATTTCTTCCTGTACACTTGCACTACCTTGCCGATTTGCTGACCTTTGTAGTGTCCTCGAACCCCCTGGATCTCATCGCCCTTGTAGATGGCATGGATCAGATCTGGTACTTCTGCCGCAGCTCCTTGGAGAGAGGGGAAGACATGATCTTGGGCACTGCTGAATATCATAGTCCACTGGTTTTCTAATGTCTCTTTTGCACTTTTATGCTAATTGCTATTTGCTTTTGCCTCCAGCAGAGGTCTTTATGTTCATTAAGGAGTCCTAATCTTTTTGTTCATATCCTTGAAAGCTTGTTTTACTTGTTTATTTCTTAGAGTGTAAATGAATGGGTTCAACAAAGGGGCTACTGAGGTATTGAGCAGAGCGACTCCCTTATTGAAGGCAATTCCCTCTTTTGCTGAGGGTTTTATGTACATGAAGATGCAGCTGCCATAAGAGAGGGAGATGACAATCATGTGGGAAGAGCACGTGGAAAAGGCCTTTTTCCTTTGCTGGGCAGAGGGGATCTTCAGGATGGTCCAGATGATGTTTGTATAGGAGATACTCACCAGCACCAGAGTGACCACCACGGTCACAAATGCTAAAATAAAGTCAACCAGCTCCAGGAGTGTTGTGTCTGAGCACGATATCTCTATGAGGGGTCCATAGTCACAATAATAATGATTGAGTATGTTGGAGGCACAGAAATCCAGCTGACTGGTCAGGATGATTGGGGATATGATGATCAGGAAACCACCTAGCCAGGAGCAGAGAACCAGCTGGGTGCAAACCCTGCTGCTCATGATGGTTGTGTAATGCAGGGGTTTACATATGGCCACATAGCGGTCATAAGCCATGGCAGCCAGAAAGTAAAACTCTGTGGCCCCGAACAATATGGCAAAGAAATACTGAGTGAGGCAACCAGCAAAGCTGATGCTCTTCTTCCCAGTTGAGATGCTGAACAGTAGCCTAGGAGTAAAAGTGGTTGTGAAGGAAATTTCTAAAAAGGAGAAATTCCGGAGGAAGAAATACATGGGAGTCTGGAGGTGGGAGTCCAGTAGTGTGAGGGTGATGATGGTCAGGTTTCCAATAATACTAAATATGTAGGTCAGGAAGAGAAGTATAAAGATGACAAGTTGAATTTCTGGGATGTCTGTTAGTCCCAGAAGAATGAATTCTGTTGGAAAGGTTTGGTTTTTCATTGCTCACTTTTACAGCCTAGGAAGGTACAAAGGAACAAAGTTGGTGTTTGAAAGGGAAGAAGAGCACAGGAGCATTCAGGAGAGGTTAATCCTACCAGACCCCTGTCCCAATTTTTTGGTAATTTCTGAATCTGCCGCTATACTGCTGTACCTAATTTTCGGTACTTTGCCTAGGTTCAGGGCCTCACGTCTGGTAGACTTAAGGCTTTTTTGTTGAATTGATTCAACCCTTCCCCCATCCCCTGTCCCCCCTGTTTAATTTGACTCAACTGAGATTTTCTATTGGATAGAGACTGCCTCTTCACAAGAATTTTTGTTGGATTCCCACATAGGATTTTTCTCCATGTCTCCTTTTCAGGCTCTTCATGTACTTCCTAACGCATCTTCTAATCCAAATCCTAAGTTATCATTTACTCCATTTAGTGTCTCTTTGAACACTGGCTTTTGATCTTTTATCTGCTATTTTGGCAGTGGTGTCTCATTTCCATCACTCTCTTGGTCTTAGTGTGAGAAGAAAAGCTAACTATATTAGTTCATAGTTGAGGGGCCTTTAGGAAGGAATAAGCAATCCTATCTAACAAAAGAGTAATATGCAAATAAACCATCACTCCACCCTCCATCACTAAGATGGCAGTGGCCACAGAGCAGGAGGCTTGGTTTGTCCCAGTGATGGAAGAAGCCAAGATTCCCACCTGCCCTGGTTGGCCCTCGGCTCTGCTCAAGGCTACAAAGTTTCAATTATAGAAGATAAATAAATACCAGAAAAAAAAAAGAAAAAAGAAAAAAGGAGAGGCTGGGAGCTTGGGTCACTGGGGGGCATGGCCAGCCTGAAAACGGCCATCAGCCTCTCACCCAGGCTGGACAGGCACCCAAGCGGTAACCTCCACCCTGATCTGGTACACCCTTGAGGGCAAACCAGCCGAGCCCCACCCATTCACCAGGTCTCTATCCTATATAATAAAAGGGTAATATGGAAATTGACCCTAACAGCAGAACAACTGGGAATGACTGGTCACTATGACACACACTGACCACTAGGGGGCAGACGCTCAAAGCAGGATCTGCCCCCTGGTGGTCAGTGCGCTCCCACAGGGGGAGCTCTGCTCAGCCACAAGCCAGGCTGCCAGCTGCCAGCACAGCAGTGGTGGCGGGAGCCTCTCCCGCCTCCTCAGCAGTGCTAAGGACGCAGTTTAGGCCTGCTCCCCGCTGGCAAGTGGACATCCCGGGCTGCCAGATGGATGTCTGACTGCCAGCTTAGGCCCGATCCCCCCGTGGAGCCAGCAGGTGGACATCCCCCGAGAGGTCCCAGACTGCGAGAGGGCACAGGCTGGGCTGAGGGACCCCACTGAGTACACAAATTTTTGTGCACCAGGCCTCTATTATTATTACAACTTTGTATCCAAAGAGATCCCCAAATTCCCTTAGATTTCTCGAATTTGTGAATCAATGTAACTAATATCAGTCTCTAAATCTTTGCAGTCAGTGCCTGCTTTCCCTCAGGTCTCAGTTTGCAGATAACATGATACTGTATATAGAAAACCCTAATGACTCTACCAAAAACAACTGGAATTGACAAATGAATTCAGTAAAGTAGCAGGATACAAAATTAATATTCAGATGTTAAAAAAGTAAAATTAATATTCAGAAATTGGGGGCATTTTTATACACCAATGTTGAACTATCAGAAAGAGAAACTAAGAAAACAATACCATTTACAATTGCAACAAAAACAATAAGGTACCTAGGGATAAATCTAACCAAAGAGGTAAAAGACCTGTACCCTGAAAATTATAGGATACTAAAGAAAGAAATTGAGGAAGATACAAATGAGTGGAAGCATATTCTGTGTTCATGGATAAGAATAATTACCATAAAAAATAATTACCATAATAAAATGCACACATTACCCAAAGCAATCTATTAATTCAATGCAATTCCGATTAAAATACCAATGGCATTGCTCACAGAACTTTCCAAAAGACATGTATTCCAAAAATATATAGGGACCCACAAAAGACCCTGAATAGCCTCAGAAATCTTGAGTTAAGAAGAACAAGGTTGAAGGAATCATGCTATCTGACAGCCAACTATTCTACAAGGCCATTGTAATCAAAACAGCATGACAATGGCATAAAAAAAGGCATGTAAATCAATGGGACAGAATAGGGAGCTAAACCCACAGCTTTATGGTCAATTAATATTTGACAAAGGAGCTCTAGCTGGTTTGTCTCAGTGGATAGAGTGTCAGCCTGTGGACCAAAGGTTCCTGGATTTGATTTCGGTCAAGGGCACATACCTCGGTTGCAGGCTTCTCCCTGGCTCGGGCCCTGGTGGGGGCTTGTGCAGGAGGCAACCAATGGATGTGTTTCTCTTACATTGATGTTTCTCTCTGTATTTCTTTTTTCTTCCACTTTCCCTAAAAGTCAATGGAAAAATATCCTCAGGTGAGGATTAACAAAACATAAATAAAGAAAGAAATAAAGACATTAAAAAAATTTTGTCAAAGGAAGCAAGAACAAACAAAGGGGTAAAGACAGTCTTTTCAATAGGTGGTGTTGGCAAAGTTGAACAGATACATGCAAAAAAAAAAAAAAAAAAAAAAAAGAGAGAGAGAGAGAAAAAGAAACTAGATCACCAACTTACACCATACACAAGAATAAGCTCAAAAGGGATTTAAAGACTTAAATGTAATTCACAAAACCTTAAAAAACCTAGAAGAAAACATAGGCAACAAAATATTGGACATTTCTCAAAGCGATATTTTTTAATATATTTCATGGGGCAAGGGAAACAAAATAAAAATTAAACAAAGGGGACTACATCAAACTAAAATGCTTTTACACAGCAAAGGAAACCATCAGGAAAATGAAAGACAACCCACTGAATAGGAGTACATGTTCATCAGTGACACATCTGATAAAGGGTTAATTTCCAAAATTTATAAAGAACTTATATAACTCAACACCAAGAAAACAAACAACCCAATTAAAAAATGGGCAAAGGACTTGAATGACACTTCTTTAAAAAGGATATACAGATGGCCAGTAGACATATGAAAAGATGCTCAAGGTCACTAATCATCAGAGAAATGCAAATTAAAACCACAAAGAGATTTTACCTCATAGCTGTCAGAATGGCTATAACTAATAAATCAACAAACAAGTGTTGGCAAGGATGTGGAGCAAAGGGAACCCTTGTGCATTGCTGGTGGGATTTCAGATTGGTGCAGCTACTGTGGAAAACAGTATGGCGTTTCCTCAAAAAATTAAAAATGGAACTGCCTTATGACCTAATGATTCCACTTCTGGGAATATATCAGAAGAAACACAAAACACTAATTCAAAAGAATATATGCACCCCTTTGTTCCTTGCAGCATTATTTACAACAGCCAAGATTTGGAAGCAGCCCAAATGCCCATCAATAGATGAGTGGATAAAAAAGGCTATGATACATCTACACAATGGAATGTTGTGTGGCTGTAAAAAAGAAGGAACTCTTACCTTTTGGGACAGAATGGATGGACCCGGAGAATATTATGTTAAGTGAAATAAGCCAGTCAGAGAAAGACAAATACCACGTGGTTTTACTTATATGTGGAATCTAATGAACAAAATAAACTAACAAAATACAAACAGACTTATAGATAATGAGAACAGACTGACAGCTGTCAGAGGTGAGGGTGGTGAAGAGGTGAAGGTATTAAGAAGAAAAACACACATAGACGTGGACAATAGTATGGTGATTGCCATGGGGAAAGGACGTGGACGGAGGTGGAAGAGGGCAAAGGGCGGATAATGATGGAGATACTTTGGGTGGTTAGCACATGATACAGTATGCAGACGATGTGCTATAGAGTTGTGCGCTAGAAACCTGTATGTTTTATTAACAAATGTCACCCCAATAAATTCAATAAAATTTTTTAAAAAAAGTTGCAAATGTCATTTGGGAATTTCTTTTTTTTTTTTTAAAGATATATTTTTATTGATTTCAGAGAGGAAGGGAGAGGGAGAGAGATAGAAACATCAATGATGAGGGAGAATCATTGATAGGCTGCCTCCTTCATGCCCTGTACTTGGGACTGAGCTCCAACCTGGGCATATGCCCTTGACTGGAATCGAACCTGGGACCTTTTAGTCTATAGGCCGACGCTCTCCACTGAGCCCAACCGGCTAGGGCTAGGAGTTTCTAATGAAGAATGTAAATGACTAGGGGGCTATTTATACCATACTTAGAGAATTCAGGTAATTATTTTTGTGTTTATAGCGGTGGAATAGGGTTCTTAATGTTTACATAGCTATTGCAACATTAATTTAAATTACATTTCACTTTTGTTTATTCTTCTCCATGGTTCTCAAATTCTCTGAACCATTCTCAGCAGATAACCCACCTACATTTTACTGAAAATTAGTAAAATTTTCTCTGGCATGATCCTCCTCTCTACCTTTCTTCTTTCAAGACTGTTCTGATCTTTTCATACTCTGATCAAAAGAGTTGATTACCCCTTTTGTGTCAAAGGTTAGTCCCTCTCTGACTCTTGAAAATAGAGGCTAGTAAACATTTTACCATCTTCCAAATCAAAAAGCATTTAATGTACATTGATTTTATTTGGTTCAGTTATAATAACAATAACTAATTATCATGAATTGAGAACTTACTATGTGCCAAGTCTGGTCGTTATTTCATTTGATTCCCATAATGATCCATTGAGATAGCTGTTATTACTATCCCCATTGCGCAGATGAGGAAACTGAGTTTTGGAGCCGTTGACGAAATTGTCCCAGCTTCCATTGCTAGTGTGTCGTGGAGTCTGACCCAGTGCCACCTGGTTGCACAGTCTGCTCACTTCACTCCCAGGCTGTGCTGATTTCCCATCCTCACACAGGGGTAGAGTGATCATGATCATTATCTCAACCTTACAGATGGGATCATGTGGATTACCTCTACTGTGAGGATAATAATGGTCATGATAGTGAAACGGAGGCTGGGAAAGTTTAAGTGG